AGATGGCTCATAGTTTTTGGAAAATGCAGATTCGAAAATCACCCTAACTAATGATAGACACTTATTCCTGAAAATTTATTCGTTGAAGTCATTGGCCAATCACTGCTGTGCAACGTGATGATTAACAAGTTTACGGTTAATCTTATTTTCTATTTTGTAGATTGATCCAGGTCACAAAAGCTCTCTCTTCAACTTGGCATTGATGTGCCACAATGAGCTCAATGACTCGTTGGCTTCAATTCCTCTTCTTCATAAACTCATTGAAGTAAGCTATTTCCAAATTCTGAATAAATAGTAGAACTTCAGCAAAAATTAAATTTCAGAAAATTATTGTATAGACGTATTCGGATCACTTCAAGTCCTATATGCTTCTTGGGGACATTGAACTTTCCGTCCTGAAAAATTCAACCACAGCAACCAAGGTTTGAAGGATATTTGTCTAAATACCATACCATACCATATCAGTAATAGTCCCTGTCATGCTAACACTCGTTATTTTTGTTTGTTTAGCTCTTTGAAAAGGCGACAAATCTCTCACCGAATAGCCTTCAAGCGCGTCATAACTACTGTGTGACCGTCAATGAGGATACTGGTGACCTTGAGAGGGGTGAGGAATGTCTCAAATTTGCCTCCTCGCTTGCTGATTCCAACAATCCAAATGACGAATTTGTTTTCCGACATTTGGCTATGATTCGAGCCAAACGACAAGCAAGGGATCCGTTGATTTAAATGTTTCTGACACTGACTGTAATAAAATGTATTTGTGTGTAGTTTGCTTGCAGTGATTATATTTCGTGATAAGTTTAGGTATTTCCAATGGTGTAAACAACGTACTTTTTGGTGGTGTTACTTCAAGCATGATGGATTAGGGGATCAGATTGTTCCGTCGAATGTACTTCTATATATTGAAGAAGAAATTTCTTTGAATTTTGATTTGCGTCTTTTATACTCAAATATCATATGTAGAGTTAATCTAAAAAGATCAATGATATGTCTTTATTATTTTGCACAATCAAGATTTCACTGATTTTGTATTTGTATTTAATCATAACCGACTCTAAGCGTATATATATGGATATATATATACATATATCATTGATTCAATGAATGTAAAAATATCTCTAATAGTGTTCTAAAATCATAACATTTTGAAATGAGTGAAAATTCTATTTGTAGATGACATTTAAAAAATACAAATTAAGCAATAAATTATTTTCTCCAATTGAAGGCGAGAAGAAATATATGTACAGTAGAATTAATTTTTCGACTCTGTATTCAGATCTCACCCTCAACCATTTAATCCAAGAAACTACCTTAAAATGGTTTGATTTTCCAGTGATTCACTTTATTTAAGGCAAAATGGCAAACTTGTAGGGACAAAAAGATGTGTTTTGGATTCGGTGTAAAGACATGGACATGAAAAAGATGTATTTGACGCGATTCGGAGATGACACAATCTTAGCGTTTCCCATTTTATGATTACCACTGCCTGTCACTTATCAGCTTCATTTGTCGACTGATCTTCTATTTGATCAGTTTTTTCCGCTGACTTTTCACTCTAACTGGCAAGGATCCTCTTGATTACTTTCATGCTGTCCTTTAGCTAATTGGTTTTGATAGCACAGAGATGGATATAAGCGCCTTTCTAGAGGAGGATTGACAAGGGTTATTTGATGAGTTTTAATTTTAAAGCACCTGTCTTCCATTCATTTAAGGAAGATTCCCAAAAGATTTATAAAATGTTTCCCCTTCTTTTAAACTGTTATCATTGCAGTTTAAAATGAATTCGTTTCTTCTTCGTTTTGTTTCGATTTGCTGATCCTATTTAGTGTACGAAAGCATTAAATGACAACAATAGTAGGATAAAGGTTTATGTCTGCCAACTGAGTGCCCGTATAAATAGGATCTTTGCAAAGTATGATTTCCGCTGATCAACTATTTTTTCTCACAACATTTTCTTGTGATTCATAGGAAATTTTAAGAACGCCATGCCAAAATAACAACAAAATTTTGTCAGCCTTATAGCTACTGCTTGAGTTCGCTGGGAGCTGGGAAAAATTTAAAGAGAATACGGTTTATTGTGATAGTCGTTCTCTTGTACCACCAATGACATCAGTGCTATTTGAATTTTTAAATCAACTTCTTGGCAATCAATGTACTTTGCAAAAGTGCTCTGATTGAGCACTCAGCTTCTGGTGAAATGGAGCAAATTCCCTAACCTTCTTAACGTGGACAAGGAATATTTCCCCATAAACCCATAACGCGCAGAGTCTTCTTCGTGACAGACGAAAGTCGAGAACAACCAGAATATAGTAAAGCTCACGATCCATTACCAAAGGCGTTGTCAATTTACGCAATCGCTCTCTATAATTAGCAGGAAAAGATATTACACACTAGAAATTTCTTCATGAATTTTCTTTTTCTAAAATGCGTATTTTTTCATTTTTATGAAATTGACAATCTTTCAAACCCGCCCCCCCCCCCCTCGAGAGGAGAACAAATTCTACCCAAGGGCTAGTGATGAAATTGAAGGCTTAAGATAAAGATGACGCGAATTCACTTAAATGTCCCACGTTTGGTGTCAAAAAACACGCCCCTACTTCACAAGAGTCAGCTCCATTGATCCCCCACATAAAGCACACCAGATGCATATTTCATCCGCCCTACCTGCACTTGTGCCAGGATACTAGGCAACTAGCTCTTAAGTAATAAAATGTCTTAAATTTATTCTTAGTGGCATTCCTACACATCTCGGGGAACATTAAATTGATCGAATTTCTCAGAGGGTATTTCATTTTCATTGTTTAGTGCAACATAAATTGACTCGAGTACATTTCTGAGCATGGAACCTATTTCTGTAAATCATGTTGCCACAACTTAAAAATGCAATTTAAAAGTAATTGTTAAAAGAATTGCTCTAGACACGAAGATCGGGTGAAACTGTCTTAGAAGCGACTTATTCCCGCAATTCCACGATGAAAGGAGTAACGGAATAAGTGATATGGACATGAAAAACACTGAAGCAGCTGATGTCGTTGAAGGGGGTCCTGATCCACCTGAAGAATTGTTATTCGTTATTTCGTTATTCGCTGAACTTATAGAAGCTTGGTCTCTACTTCCTGAATAGTTTGCATTTGCAACTCCAATGGCAGCAGGTAAAAATGGGATCAGTAATTGGATTGAGGTTTAATGATCAGGTGTTTCGAGCATCAAAAGGTGGCAAACGATAAAAATTATTAAATTTTCAAATATCCACACATGTCTATGAATTCGACTTTTTCTCAATGTGGGGGCTAACTCTGTAGGTTGCGTAGGATAAAAGGAAATTATTTGCATAAGTTGAGAATTTAAAAATAACTTTAGAATTTTCTTCAGAAAATTTAAATAAGAAGGCATTTTTGGAATTTCTTTAAAGTTGCATGCCTTCAAAATCTTTCCGACAGGAATAGCTGGAAGACATGTACAATATTTTAAATTCCCACAAAATAATGGGATGTTCTGCTTGAGAATGACAGTCGCTCGAATTTAATCTATAATTTTGAATATAGGAACATTATTCCTACCTTATTCAATTTTTTAATGGAATAAAACTCTATTTCAAAATCTTGATCTGAAGGGAGACAACTGTTTAATTTTCTCAGGAAAAAAGTTATTTCGAGAAAATTTCTTCCTAAAGATAATTGTAGCATGAATTAAGCAAGAATTTCTTGATTCCAAGCGAATCAATGAAATAATATGACATGCTCAGACTTATAGACTTTCTTACCTCGAAATACTATATGTACAGTTAAATATTAATTTATACAAATGACAGGCTTTATGATAGTTATCGTTAGCCCTTTAGATGACCTCGGGCTTCACAGAGGGGAGGAGTGTCGAAGTCACAAAATATCGAGGAAGGTGGAGGAGGGGGGGGAGGAGGACGGTGAACAGAAAAGTGAGTTACAGATAGACACAAAGTTAAAGAAAGAGGTGAGATGCTGTGAGTACTGCGGAAGTGTTGCAATACGATATGCATTCAGTTCATGGTAGTTTTCAGTCAGAAGTCAACTGCCGATCTAGAGACTTTTACGCCATATGAGTATACGTAGCCCAGGATGCTCAACGTGGAGGTAATTCTGTCACACACTCCACAGCTGAATACATTGCATCAATAAAAAGTACATTTTCACCAATTGTTAAAAGATTGGTTCAATGAGAAATTAAGCAAAACGACGGCATAATTGAGAATAAAATAATAATTACAAAGCAAAACGCGCTTATACCGACAATCGTCTGTGACATTAGATATTTTAACGCATCACAAATCCAAGATATTGTACTCATACGCCATCATGTATAGTTACGTAGAATGCTGATATAAACGCAAAATAACGAGACTTTATGTTAATATGTGATTATGCATTCCTTTAGGCCTTCAAGTCGTTGGGGATTTGCTCTTATGCGCAAATGTATTAAATAAACTAACCTATTCTGACCTTGTGCAAGCACACACGAGTTCGTTACAGACTCGCGTCCACGTCCCACGGCCACAGCGGAAAGCTTTCATTGGATAAAACCAAAACCCCTGTAGAGGGGGAGTGAATTGGAGATAACTTAGCATTAACTGAGATCCTCTTTTAGTACAAGTGAATAATAATGATTATATCATTGATCAGGGCTCCCATATGGTCAGCCTACACAAATGTTTCAAGCTAAATCATGCCATCATTATCCCTCCACTCATACCTTGCTCTCATAGTCTTCCAAGAGAGTTGGCCTTCTCTCATGGACTGTCAAACCCTCCTGCAACCATCTTACTTCCCAAAAATTAAATTTAACTGAAAGAATAATGAAATTGCATAGAACTATATATGTTCACTTAAATAAATCGGAGTAACGGATATCAATAATGATGCTGTATTTTCATGGGAAAAACCTGTATTTGAAATTGACTATGATAGACACATTTTCTCCCCCTAAATTTAATACTGCAAATTGTTCGCACATGGTACTTTTACGTAGATTAAAAAGACAAACCCCATTTTTATGAATTTAAGTGAATATTAAATCATGCTAGTGTAATAAGACCAAATTCGAGAATGTAGAGAAGACTTCCAATCAACAATTAAACCCAAAACCATTTGCATCAGCTGGTTTAAAAATTGTAGCTCATTGCAGAAATATCTTAAGACTAGTGAAGTACCAGTGATAACTGATGCCATAGCATTGTGGGACCCTTTGTCGCTGTGTACTTCATCGTATGCCTGCATGTCTGCTCGCCAGTATTGGGTGGTGCGGCCGTACAACTCTGTGTGGAGCGACCGTACAAACAGTGTCCAATCATCAACCTCTGTTTAACCTAATCCCCCATCCTAAGCATGAGTAGCTGCATGCGTGTACACTTGATCCGCAATATACGTCCTGAATAGACGTGCTCCGTGCTACACGTCTGTTTCCTTTATAGCTGAGCTATATTTTAGCTGGTTCTAGGAGTCTAGCTAGATGTGGGAGGATCTGCCATGGAGATTTCTGAGTCGGTCAGGCTTTAATAAAGTAGCAATCCGCTACAGCATATGTGAAATAAGCGAGTTTAAGTGGGATAAGTAAGAGATGAGCCCCTATTTGAGGTTATTTGTCATTGCAGCTCTAGCATCCTGATATCTCAAAGGAATATGACCCATTGAGCCCTTGTTAGAAAATGGAACTGGCTTGATGAGGAAATTATTTACAACAACTATGCAAGGTAC